AGGGGTCTTTTGGAGTGCTGCAAGTATTCTGTATCTTTATCTTCGGGTGGATTCAGGGGCATATATGTAAATAAAAATTCACTAGGCTGCACACTTTGGATTTGTTCATTTTACTGTACGTGTGTTACAGATCAATAAAGAATAAAAATGTATCCACAAAAGGAAGTTATTCTTACACACAGCCATGTCTATCTGAACTTGTTAGGTTTAAACCAACATTAGTTGGCACTGAACAGCCTGAAAGCTCATGAAGAAAAAACCAGAGTCTGCAGAGAATCTTCCCACTGCTTCTCATCTGCTTGTGTGTCTCTGAAGGAAGTGATGGTGGGAGGGGCTGTGAGTTTCTGGAAGCAAGGATTGTGACATCTGCCTGTGTCGGGGGTCACAGGAGACAGGTGTGGTGTGGACGTGTGCGGACAAGAAGATGGATGCAGATGCTTGTGGTGCCTGTGTTGAGCTCTGGCATGATTCTGGGAGGAAGGGGCAGTGCTGGGGTAGGGAGGCAGCTGTGACCAGACCTCAGGGGAGGGCTGGAAGGCTGAGAACCCAGCTGTGGCAGTGAGACCCAGTGTGGGCACCCCGACTCATCTCTCTGGGCTTGGAGGACACCACAATCACCTTAAGCTCAACAGATCCCAACCCAAATGCATCCTCTTTCTCTGAAAGTAAGATCTTCCCAACTCATTCATTTCTATTATTGGTAACACCATTCTCACGATTACCTGCATTTGATGACTTGGGAATTATCTTTGATTCTTCCCTCCCTTTCCTGAATAGTGTTTGAGACTTTCCATATATCTGCAATCCATTCACTCATTTGTTTATTCCCCAAGAACTTAGTGTCGTACCAGATACACTAACAGTAACAAGCAACATTTATCAACATGTGCTGGGCATCCTTTTAAGCACTTTACATGCACTGTTTCACTTAATCTTTGGAAAAATGCATATAGCAGATAAAATGTTTTTCCATTTTGCAGGTAAGTAAACTGAAGTATGGAAAAGTTAAATAACTTGCCGAAGGCCCCAGATTGCCAGGTTAGAGGTGGATTTCAAAGCTGGTTCCACCTGACTTCAACAATGCCCCACGTACGTGTTCCTTGTCAGGCTTGCTGACTATCCTGTGCCGTCTTAGGCTTCTTTATATCAGTAGTAAAGTCCTTTTCATACACAAGGCACTCAAGTAACTGATGTTGGCATTATTTAGAGATCCTGATTGGGCAGAATTTAGCAAAGTGTTTATAACTAAAGAACTATCTGCTATAAGAAGATCAAACACCGCATGTTCTCACTCATAGGCGGGTGTTGAACAATGAGAACACATGGACACAGGGAGGGGAGCACTACACACTGGGGTCAGTTGGGGGGAAATAGGGGAGGGACGGTGGAGGGTGGGAAGCTGGGGAGAGATAGCAAGGGGAGAAATGCCAGATGTAGGTGATGGGGAGGAAGGCAGCAAATCACACTGCCACGTGTNGAGGAAGGCAGCAAATCACACTGCCACGTGTGTTCCTATGCAACAATTTTGCATGTTCTTCACATGTACCCCAAAACCTAAAATGCAATAAAATAAATAAATGGGGAAAAAAAAAAGAACTATCTGCTATAACTGAGTGAGATGTCCAGGTAATAGAGAATAAGCAATCCCTCCCCCCAAATTTCTAGTTGCTTCTAGAGTGATGTCCGCAGAAGGCCACCCTCATGGGCTCAGGGCCTGGCCTTGACCTCCTCTCTGACATGGGCTGCTGCTCAGTCCTGGGTGGGCTGGGGTGGTGGGAAGAAAGTTGCATGGGAAGGACTATGTAACCCAGCTCCACACTCCAGTTCTGCCTGTGCCCTATGCAATGCCACCTCATCTGCCTGAGGAGTGACAGGTATTTCAGTGCACGCTGAGATGGGAAACTCACAACTGTTTTCAAAACAATTGCCATTCATGGTCCTAAAATATCTGTGCTTGGCGCATGTTTCTGAATGCTGCCTGCATTCCCATAATCAAGATGCAGCATGGCTGTGGCCTGTGGGTAACATAAAACCCGACTTGCAACTATTATTAGGCATGCGGACCAGCTGTCTGGAGGAGCTGATTAATTCCCAGCAGAAACTTCAGCACGCAGCACACATGCCATCTGCAGAGTACACCACCAGACACACACCAGGCCCTCTCTCCCTCGTAAAGCGGCCGGGGCACAGCAGGCCCTTGGGAGGAATTTTATATACAGCTGGGTTGTCCCAGTGCTGGAAAAGAAAGGTCTCTCCAACTCCCTCACACATGCACATTAGGAGGTGCTTCTTAAAAACAGTCCCATTAAATAAAGGGGAAAAGGGATGTATGACTCATCCTCTCCATCTTTATTTTCTATTCCTTTTATCACTGACTTGATGAAAAGCAGTCAGCATAGCCTAGGATGGTAGATGCAACAGGGCCAGCCACATCTGGATTCAAATCCTGGCTCTACTATTTTACTGGCTGTGTGACTTTGTACAAGTTACTTAACCCCTCTGAGTCTATTCCTGTTGTTTCCCTGCCCGGTCCTCCCATTTCCCCAGGTCTGGCACTTGGAAGGTATTTATAAATGACTCTGCCCCCTCCTCCCTGTCTGCTGCATGACAGCATTTCTTTTATTCTCCTTGGACATCCACCCCTCCTCGCGGTATCATTTTTTTTCCCAGTTCAGTTCTCCAGTTCACTTACTTCTTACTTCTCTCTTTCTAGTGTTTGGCATGGATTTGAAGATGTTTGGGAAAGGGTGGAAAGAAGAAAAATGTTTGAAGAAAGGAGGATGGGAGCCTTGATTTCGAAATTAAGGAAATGCAGTACAAAGGCTACGAAGCTGGCCTTTTGAAAGGGGCTCTGACGGCATCCGGGGACATGATGGCGGAGCTGCGCAGCCAGCAGAAGGGCCATCAGGATGGCTAAGGTGGAGGAGCGGCTGAGGGCCAGGCTGAGGGCAGCAGCCTGAGGGAGGGGAACCAGCGAGGGTGCCAATCACCCAGGGCCACAGCCTGAATAGCCTCACTCCAGCGAATGTGGCATGGACTCAACATCCAGGCCCTGTTAACAGCACCCCTACCAGCCACCTCTGGCTCCTGGCCTGCCAACCTTCTCATTTACCCATGGCTCATGAGCATTAACCACAAACCCTGTAGAGTCCAAAGCCCAGGAAAAGGGGAAAAACTCGACTCACACACAGAAGGGTGCATGCACAGCTCTTTCTAGCCCTTTCCTAAATCAAATATTCATGTCTCACAACCTTCGCCCACTCTCCTTCCGCGTCTCAGGAGCTGGGATCTGACAGACTTGCCTCAGGATAAACTCCCTCATTCAGGGCAAGTCTCAGATCCACTGGCACTCAGGTCCTCTCAGCTCACCTTGCCTCAAAATCACATGCACATTCCTCTCTGGATGGCCAGTGCCAATCAAAGCTGCAGTGTGCCTTTGATTAGAGATACAGCACGCCATCTGGCCCAGCACAGTGCGTGTGTGCGTGCGTGTGTGTGTGTGTGTGTGTGTGTGTGTGTGTGTAATGCACAGGCCTGCTTGCTGTGTGGGCATCTGGCTCCAGGACAAAACTGCCACGTGTTGGGGAAATTCAAATAGCTAAGCTGTCTGACCGACATGTAATTCAGCATTTGGACAGTATCGGTAGCAGCCAGGGTCTTAGTTTAACATTTTCCCTCATCAGTTGAGACTGCTAAGAATGCTTCCATTCTTGGAGTCAAATGAAGGGAAAGGATAACTGGCATGAAATGAAAGAATCAAGAGGAGGAGGTACAGGGGCAAGAGAAGGAGAAGGAGAAAGAGAAAGAAACGAACTCCAAAGCTGGCCATTATGAAATGCAGTAAAAGGCACCGCCCTGTAGTACATTCCAGGCACTGCTGTGCTTTGCTTGGGATGACTAGGCTTTGGTTAAAAATACCAACAATGAAAGTCCCCCCTTGCCCCAGTTAGAAACATTATATTTCACAGAGGAGCCTCTATTCAATTGCAAACTGCATACTTAATCCCACACTTTTACTTGGTGACCACTTTGTAAATATCTGGGAAGAAAGAAAATATTCCTAGAAACTCCTTCGTAGTATCTGGTGCTCTAATAGCACCTGCAAAGCTGCCCCACTGGGATGGCGGCTGAGTTGGGATATATTTTACTTAAAGACTAATTTCTATAAATATTTTGCAGAGAGTGGGATGGAGGGAGAGGATGAAAGGAGGAGGAGATTTTCAAGTAACTATGCTGTTACCATCTATAGTCTCTCTAAGTCCTCTCTCCATTTTCTCTCTCCCTGCTCTGGACCCATAAGGACTCATCGCTGAGTTCCTGGGACCTCTACTTCTGGTTGGGTCTGGCAGAAGACCTGGAAGTGGGCAAAAGAGTGGGGTTGGGTGTGTATCCTCAGATCCATCCTCACCATCTCTTCCTACTGAGGAGGCCCTCTCTGCACAGTGGCCTATTCTGACTTCTTGTGCCCACTCCCCTGTCCTTTTGCCTTTGAGGTCTTGGTTCTGTTGCTGTTACAAGCTCCGAGATATTGCACCATGCCCTGTTGGCTTCCTAAAACCCTGCCTGTACCTTTGTAAACAACTCATCTATTAATTTCTCTAATTTGAACGTGCCTTCTGCTTTCTGCTGGGCCATAGACTGAGTGACAAACTAAAACTTGCTGGATTCCCTGGCTTTCCCCAGCCTTCTTTCTCCAAAAGCAGAGTATCCTAGGCCTGGATGCTGTGAGGAGACCAGCATGAGCCATGAGGACCAGAGCAGCAAATGCCCACTCACTCATGCACCCACCAAAACGCAACATCTCATCCCTCCACTGGGCCCACAACAGTCTCCCACCTGCAGAGCTGTCAGATTCCTGCCAGATCAAGGTCAAACCCGGCTGAAGAATGACATTTCAAATATTTTCTGAAGGAAGGGAAGGTAAGGAGAAAGGAGGGGCGGTGCAGTAAGAGGCTGTTCTCAAGGCTGTGATTATGAGCCATTGTCATTCAAGTGCCCACCTTGTCTTGCTGTGTACTCATTGTCTTCGATCAATCGGGCCAATCCGAAGTCAGCAATCTTGCATATTAGTCCATTCCCCACCAGAATGTTTGCTGATCGCAGATCTCTATGGATATAATTCATGCGCTCGATGTAAGCCATTCCTGCAGCCACCTGTGGAAACCCAGGGAACAGGACATGTTACACCATGACCCAATGTGTTTACATGCCATTAAATCTACGGCACATCAAGGTACCCCGCAGGGCCTACCTGTGCTGCCATGTCCACAAGATTTGGTAATTTCAGAGCTCTTCCTTCTCCATCTTTTAAGAAATCGAGTAGACTTCCTATGAACAAAACATAAAATCATTTCAATTTACTTTGAAAGATAATTCTCAATGGAGGGCTGTATTTGGTTTTCTTAATTAAAAGTAATAAGGTCATCAAATGGAATAATGCCATCCATGGAAAAATAAGGTTTATATAAAAAAGCAGAGTAGAAAAAAGTACATGCATGGAGAAGCCACAGTTCTACCTTTTAAAAACAAACAGCATTCATTCCATTTCTAGGGATAACAACATATATTTGATAAAACTAGAAGAAATGGGAATCAATATCACTTTAGGTCATAAAGAGGAACCTATGAAGAACTGCACCTCTTCAATTCCATTCCCCAACCACCCCTGCACAGAGAATTGATGTGGGGAAAATATAGGCCAGTTGAGTGGTCCAAAATTGAGGTCTTGGGGCAAGCAGCTGTAACGAACGTCACCAGGGAACTTGTAAGACATGCAGATTCTCAGGTCCTATTCCAGATTGAGTAAATCTGAAACTATGAAGGTTGGGTCCAGAAACTTGTGTTTTAAGAAGCCCTACAGATGATTCTAATAATACAAGGTAAAGTTTGAGACTCACTGGCTTAGCTTATTTACAGATTTTGAATCAAGAAGAGACAATCTGAAGAATATAGGTGGGGCAGAAAGTTCCCCTTAATTAGATCATAGCCAGCCAAGCCTTAAATCAGACATCTGAAAGAAAACATTGGAAGCTTCAGAGCCACTACTATACAGCCCAAGGAGGCTGAGAACTAACACCAAGGCAGGGATAATCATTTGCAGAAGCTGGAGGCTTATGATGGTCATCAGTGATACTTTATGCTTTAATCACAAAGTTATTTACAAAATAACCCTGGATACAAAGGACAAATAGTTTGCCAGAAAAAAAATTCCAATTATATTTTAAAAGAAAGTACATGGAAAAGAAAAATTACACTGGTATCCTCTGATGTACAATATATTGCCTTTTAAGGCTGTTTCTTATTTGTTTCATCTATTTTTCCAAAACAAAATGATCTTTGGCCTTATCCCCAACAATGCTGGTTTGATTAGAAAGACAGAGGGGTTGTGGGGGAGAGAATGTGAGAATAAATGTGGTCTCTGAAAGCGTGTAATTTCATCATCTGATGTTTAAGGAGAGAGTTAGAAAAAAATAAGATGTTGAAACCATGGAGACTGAATTTAGCTTAGAGACCAGTGTCTGATATTAATTGTTTGGTCCTGCAAAAAGGAAATGTAGCAAAAGCTACTGTGTTCAAAATAACAGCAAACTATTATAACCCTCTGTACCACCACAATATTAAAAATGAATGTTTTAATTAGGGAGAGGAGTTTGAATTTCTGATACACATAACATGCAAAAGGTACTCAGCATTTTTCAAGGATTTGGGGCGAGGCAAACTCAAGGTTAGTCTGTTTTAAAAATGTTTTCATTCATGAACATATAACTGGTGCTTCCTGATGGGAATACTTGACCCAGGCAGAAACTGGAAAAAAAGCAAGCAGGAAGCCTCTATTTCTCTCCCCCAAACAACCCCTTCAGGCACTGCAAGCTGGAGACGGGAGAGGTGTTGCCCAACCTTTATTCATATACTCGGTGACGATATAGATTGGTTCCTCAGACACCACTGCATAGAGCTGGACCAGCTTGTCGTGCTTCAGCTTCTTCATGATCTGCGCTTCCTCGAGGAATGATTCGGGGGACATTGTGCCTGGTTTAAGAGTCTTTATGGCTACTTTTGTGTTTCCATTCCAGGTACCTACAAACATCACATAATGTGAAGTCAAACCAAAGATCCTCTTCTGATGGAAAGAAAAGTTTTTGACCAACAGCTATTTGCATAAAGTTAGATTTTAAGTTTAAAACACTTACTATAGTTTTTGTTGAACAAAGACATTCAATTGCAAGGACTCTGTCAAGTACTTTAACAAAAAAAAAATGTGTTTATTTGTGGCTATGGCTAAGATGGCTATATTAAGATGTATAATTCATTAATTTTTTTTAAATTTTGATATATACCAGTTTCTCTTTTTTGTCTCAGTCATATGATTACACATTTATACCAAAAGCTCTGGACCGGTGTTCACAGTGATGAAAGTCCAGGGGTTGGAACAGGCCTGGCTATCTAATAGCTTCGGGATACTCCCTTAGGGAGTATAATGAGCAAGGAAGAAATTAGATTATTTAAGTTTATGGGGTGTGCCATTTAAAAATAGGGCAACATGAGGATGTCTGGAAATCACCTCTAGACTTTCAACTTTTACAATGGACAAGTTACTTGACTGAGTCCTTGCACAGGTGCGCCAAGCATGCTGACAAGCACTGGCAAGGAGCTCACAGTCTGCTTGCCAATACTTCAACCAGGTAAGGCAAATTCCTCAGCTTTACTATGGCCAGCCACAAGAACAATGGTTTCTGTCAGGTAGGTAGACAGGGGAAATTAAACAGCAGCTAAGGGAGAATAGAAATATTTATACTTTGCATGTTAAAAAAAAATCTAGCAAATCTGAAGCCAAGGCCTGGTTTATGATTGTCATCAGTTACCTCATCTGTAAAATATAGGAATGGAATTGGATTATCTTTTCAGGGTCTCTTTCAGTCCCAGCATTAAAAAAAAACACAAAAAAACAAAAACCAAACCTTGGTTCTATGTGTATCCCATTATTAGACCTATGATGCTGAAGAATAACTTTATAAAGGGGAAAAATCTGCTAATTTAGATTATTTTCTATTTGAAAAAGAAGACTGGTTTAAATTAAGATTTTTATACTTAATGTAACTGACTTTGAAATTTAAGAATTCTGTAAATTGGAGCAGTTCTTATTATCCTGTTAAAGACATGGTTCATATAATTACAACATGTAACCTACAAAAATATAAATTATGGAAAACAAAGTGGCTTAAAGTTCATTGAAACTTCATAAAACATCTGCCCACTATGCATACATGGGAAATTTGGCAATTTATAAGTGATCTTTGCTATTTAAGAGTCAGCACCTGGGAGGCTGAGGCGAGTGGATCACGAGGTCAGGAGTTCAAGACCAGCCTGGCCAAGGTGGTGAAACCCTGTGTCTACTAAAAATACAAAAATTAGCTGGGTGTGGTGGCGAGTGCCTGTAATCCCAGCTACTCAGGAGGCTGAGGTAGAAAACTGCTAGAACCCAGGAGGCGGAGGTTGCAGTGAGCCAAGATCGCACCACTGCACTCCAGCCTGGCAACAGAGCGAGGCTCCGTCTCAAAAAAACAAAAAGTATCATTCCAATTTTACAGATGAAAAAACTGAGGCTTAACGGAGTAAAATATGCCCATTGTTCATGGTTGCTTAGCTAGTAAGGATTCAAACCCAAGCCCATCGAGCAAAATGCCCACGGTTTTTCTTATGGCTGCCCATATACAGTATCTTACCTTACTGTTTCTTAGGAAGAGGAAACACCAGATTCACAGTGTTCTGGTTTCCTGTTCTGCGGGTGCCTTAATTAACCACATGAAGTAGGACAGATGAGCACAGCAAGGTAGCATATTCTGAAAATCTGGATGGCCTGTGCCTGTCTAGTTATCCAGGTTAAGTGTCTTTGTCCCAACGGCTGTGTGTGCATTTTTGTTCAAAACCATCCTTTTAATCGGCTTTGAGATGCAGCCAAAACAAAATGTGCCCTCTGCCTTACCAAGCCACACTTCAGCGAAACACCCCTGACCCAGCTTCTTCTCCAGAAACAACGAACGACGTGCAACTTCCCAAGCATCTTTAGCCAATCCAGAAGTTTGTGGGGTACAACTCGATGCAATCACAGTTAAGTTAAAACACAAACCATCAGCTTTCTCTACAGGAAAGGGAATTAATAAAGAAAACACTGTCCTTATAATCCATAATTATGCATGCACTAGGAAAGATGGAAGGTGACTTGCCCGTTAGGGCAACACTCAACAAATATTTGCTTTTGGAAATGAAGGGTAAGATCTTCTATGGGAGCTGGAACATTCCTTGTACCATTTGCTGGTTTATGAATTGAGGCTCATGTAACAGTACAACTTGAGCCATTTGCCAATTTTGCCCATTTACTATCTTTTTTTCCAGAAATTCCAGAATATTAAAACCAAAATTGAAATCATTCTTCCCCACTATTACGAATTCCGTCTTTCTTCTCGGTCATGCAGTCTTTATTTTCACCTTCCATCTTTGGTGTTTGGGGTTTCCCAAATGAGAAAGTCAATAATAGAGTAATTGAGTCTCAGCATACCCATCCATACTTCCCCAAACTGCCCATTTCCCAGTCTCTTGATCAACTGCAGGGATTCTCGAGGGATTTCCCAGACATCTTTGGTTTTGACAGACAGATCGGTAAGCCTTGGCATCCCTTTGTGACAGGGAACTACTAGGCGGCAGCAGAGACCTGCAGCTCTCTCTGATGGAGCAGGGCAGGGGCAGGAGAGGGAGAGAAGAGCAGAACACATGTAACGACAACACTCATAAGTGCAAACCCACACTAGCAGCGCACAGCGCTCCTCAAACAGTGCTACACCAGAAGACGACCACACACATCGTGGAAGATCAGACGCCACACATGGAAACATGTTCACTGGAGGTAGAATAGAGGAAGTTTTAAATTTAGATTCCTCCATAAGCCCAGGTACTATAGTCTATATTTAGATATACACACAGACTGCTTTGGTTTCTGTACTCATTGAGTAAGAAAAACCTTTTCAGCTCAATGTGCTAATAACATGTTTTTGGGAATGCTGAAAATATCCTTACTAATTTCAAAAACTGCATTTGGATTAAAGAATGTCAACATGGCTGTTCTTCCCCACCTTTAATATCTAGATTACCCAGGGGATTGGGGATCTCTCTGTATGACTATATTTAAAATTCAAACTTTAGCAGACGATTCTTCTACAGAACATTAAACTGTTATAAACTAGTAAGGCTGAAGATTATAACTGGTGGGGAAAAAAAAGAAGTCACTTTTTTAGTGATTTCTTTGGCTTTCTAACTGATTTCATTCCACCAAGTCAGATACTCCTGGGCTGCTTCTTTGATATTTTCTATGGGAAAAAAAAAAATCCTTTTAACAGTCTTCAATGTATAATTTAGGTGTCTGGTTTGAAAGGAGAAAGAATGGAAACCAAAATTCACAGAAATTCAAGGATGTGAAAGAACATGTTCTTTATAAAAAAAGAAGAAGGGAAAAAGTAGTTATCACTCGGAGGTTTTTTTTTTCTCTTTGTCTTCTTTCCTTCTTTCTCTTCTTTTTTTTAAAAAGAATATAATCTTTTAGAATCTGGCAGAGCTAAGGGGAACTTAAATGCCAAGTAATAATCAGTCAGGCAAAAAAAAGGTAACAAAGAATAAGAAATCAGGGAGTGACAAAAGCTGACAGAGCCTGCCTTGTGAGGTGGACAGGCGCCCCCGCCCCCACCCCTCCAGGAAGCCCCCAGACCCAGGGAAAGCAGGTGTGCTGCTGTGCTGTAACTTGCTTTTTACTCCTTTCTTTTTGATGGAATCAGGCTCTGGGATGTTTAGGTGGGAAATTATTTATGTGTCAATATTTCAAAGGCATTTTATTGTGTGAGAGAGAAAGAGGGAAGAGGGAAGGCCAATATAAAAACAAGCCTAATGTGAGATGGATTTTTTTTCCCCGAGATTAAAAAAAGTGTCTATTGTTCATATCCCCTCTTTCCTTCCAGCTTTACGATGTTATTAAAGTGCCCTTTCCAACACAATATTTTCAAATGATCCAAACCCTGGGGATCCTGCTGATGCTTGGCTGTAATGAAATATATTTCAGCATTTGAAAAATCCTTACAACATGCAGGCATTTTGAGTATATTACTTAAGCTCAGGGAGATATTTTGTTCCATTTCTCCCAAATGTTTCATTAGATTCCACATAAACCAAGTGAACCAATGCCACAATGCACTAGCACTGCAAGTGCTGTTAATATTTTCTATTGTTCATTAGTGCCAGGGATCAATAGTCATTTTCAAAAGATTGCTTTTTCTTGCTAGAAATTATACATACATATTTCAATGTCATTTTCAAAAGATTGCTTTTTCATGCTAAAAATTATACATACATATTTCAATGATTGTGCATAGAGCAATACTAGAGGTAAATCATATACTATTTTTGAGCCTTGCTATTGTACTGGAGAACAATAGAAAATGGAGAAATGGGTCACACAAAAAACTTCTAGGCTTAATAGGATATAGACATGTATCTGTGCATGTCTATATATTATATCCCACTATATCTTACATATTCACATGCACCTGTATTTATAGACACGTGAACATGTAAGATATAGTGGGATATAATACTTGCTAATCTAGGAAATCATTTTAACAATTGCACATGAAACCGCATTCTTTGATAAAATGTGTAACCTGCACACCTAATAATTATATGTTTTCAGGAACAACAAAATAATGGTGATATCTGGGTGTTAGGACAGAGACTGATGTACGTTTTAAAAGTTTAACACAGTAGATGTAATAGATCTAAGAGCTGTGGGTCACGTAAGTCTAAGTCTAGTTAGGAAACATGATAAATGGATCGCATGAGAATGAAATGTATGTGCAGCCATTCCTGTAACAGTGCCGAGTGTAAAGTGATGGTGGAAACACAAGACCCCTTGTAAGTGCCTCCCAGAGACTGCTTCCTCTTATGCAATGTGGGGGAATGGGAAAAGACAACTTGCAAGTATTTTAGGATGAAGGTGAAAAAACAAACAACTTTTAAAATGTAACCTATTTCTTTCTACTTGGGAAACAAAAATTTTATAGACTCTTTGGACAAACATGTGGAACTAATGATAACTACAGAACAACATCAACAGAACCTGTTCAGCCAAGCCCCCCTCACCGAGGGGCTGGCAAAGAAAACATATTCTATGCGTGATTTTGTATATATTAGTTTTACCACTTTCCACTTTCCTGCTCTGGGCCTATCTACTCCCACCAGCATCCAAATGGTTAGCAGGTAGTTAGAATTAAGGTTACCTGAGTAATGTTGCACAAGCTGCTGAAGTGTTTCAAACTGGGCCCGGGTGGTAATGTAGTATCCACCATTGTCAAGTTTGCGAATTTTATAATGTTTGACGTGGTCTCCTTTCATATCATCCCAATCACGGATGGAAAGTGAATAGGCACCTGGTAAACATGCAAAGCATTAGCAGCTCCAGTCATCTGGGGTACTGGCTAGTTTTTTAGGCTTCATTTTCTCGACTGACTAATAATTATCAAGGGTGCACAAACATACATACAGCATCTCCACTCAGTAACAAAAAGAGGATGCTTCTTGATGTCCTGCAAATGTCCGAAGATATTAGCAGTAAACTGATTCTGCCCTGGAGACTGAAAGCTTCCTGGATATTTTTCTTAAACACACGATTCAGTACCCCTTGTTCCCTGATACCGGGTAGACTCAATTCTGACAATCCTTCCCCCCAGGATAGAGAGAAGGACCGCTGAGCTTGCTTTCCTTGTCTTCTCTACTCAGGGGCATACTGGGAGGTGGGGACAGCATGTGCAAAATAAATCTAAGGCTTGTTTCTCTAGAAGTGAGCTTCAAGCTTCTGCTTTACAACACTTTTTACAGGAAAAGATAATCTGGCCCATTAAGCCAGAGGGCACTAATCTTTTCTTCCTTGACCTATCTCCTCTTGTGGGCTGTAATGAGTTGTTAAATAATAAAAAGTACAACAGTTGAAGGAAGAAAAGTGAAGTCCTCAGTTATTTAAAAAACAAAAGGAAAGCAAAACAACCCATATGACTGGCACCTGAGGAACTAAGAGTTTCAGAAAATCAAAATTCTAAAGGACTTCTGAAAATTCTATGATCTCGTGTGCCCAGAGCATTGAAGCTGCCCCAGTCCGTTTCAGGGGGAAGGTCTTGATTTGGAGCCTCTGTAGTTCTTTTGGTGCTGTCTGCAGTTCTAGAGCCTGGAGGGAAAACTGCAAACAGCACTCTACTCACAAGGCAGGGAGCACATGTGCCATTTAAAAATCCTTGTACATTAGAGATAAGCCTTTCATCCCCTCTGACTAATCCACAGATTTGAATGACAAGCCAACTTCTTCCACTCGTTATCTTACCTTTGGTGGTTTCACTCTCTCGGATAAGAAAGGTACCTCTTGGGTTTCCAAAGGACAATAGCTGTCGCTCAGCATCTTTTCGGCCAAGTTTTCCAAAGTACCACCTTTAAATGAGATCAAGGAAAGAAAATACTTTGTGACAGTCATTTACAAAATGCAATAGCATAGGCCTCTTGTGCCCACGAATTCCTCTTGCCTCCAATTTAGTCCTTAGCCTTTCCCTATATGTATTTTTTCTAGCTTGATTCAGTTCCTTTTCAATCTACCCTGAATTCTATCTCTAATTCATCTCTTTCACTCTTTAAAACAAATCGGATTTGATTAGCTGGGCATGGTGGCACACGCCCGTAGTTCCAGCTACTTGGGAGGCTGAGGCAGGAGAATCGCTTGAACCTGGGAGGCGGAGGTTGCAGTGAGCCAAAATTGCGACACTGCATTCCAGCCTGGTGACAGAGAGACTCTGCCTCAAAAAAACAAAAAATCAAAAATGATCTGAATTGTGGGTTGTTTTCCTCCCCTTCAGACATGACAGGAACTGGTTTGTGTTGAAATTGCCACCTGTATGCACAAAAAAAGAAATCGAAGACCTTGATTTCAAATGGCAACTGCAGGAGACCCTTTCCACACTCATCTAAAAGACTCTAGGCCAGGTGCGGTGGCTCACACCTATAATCTCAGCACTCTGGGAGGCTGAGGCAGGTGGATCACCTGAGGTCAGGAGCTCAAGACCAGGCTGGCCAACATGGTGAAACCCTGTCTCTACTGAAAATACAAAAATTAGCTGGGTGTGGTGGCATGTGTCTGTAATCTCAGTTATTCAGGAGGCTGAGGCACAAGAATTGCTTGAGCCAGGGAGGTGGAGGTTGCAGTGAGCCGAGATAGGGCCACTGCACTCTAGCCTGGGGACAGAGTGAGACTGTCTCCCTATGATGTCCCCTGGGCGTGGTGGCATGTGCTTGTAGTCCCAGCTACTTGGAAGGCTGAGGCAAGAGAATTGCTTAAATTAGGGTGGTGGAGGTTGCAGTGAGCGGAGATATGGCCCCTGTACTCTAGCCTGGGGACAGAGTGAGGCTGTCTTCGGTCTCAAACTCCTGAGCTCAAGTGACCCTCCTGTCTTGCCCTCCTGAAATGCTGGGATTACAGGAGTGAGCTGCCACGCCTGGCCCTGAGAGATCTTCTCTTTGGCACAACTGTAGGGACTGGAACTGTAGCTTTGAGATCTGTGCTTGGCCAATAAGCATGTCCTTAAAAATGGCTTGGTGTTGCAGATATTTCAATATATTATCCCTGAAGAAACTAATGATACTCTGTGCCACTTTAGGAGGCATCAAATTAAGTCACCCCAAGACTTTTGTTATTTGCCCTATGTCTTCCCCCTGCATTCTCAAGCCTAAACCAAGCCTGGCAATTAGTTAATATATCAGCATTAGATGCTGAATGAGCAGCAGGTGCCCCCCAAACCCAAGGGAGAATGCGGGAGTATTCAATTGGAATCTGTGTGTGGGAACAATTTTTAGAATATTTTACTGTGAAAGGATCCAGATTCTAAAATGAAATTTCAATTCATTATGCTTGAATATAGGTATTATGAGTTCACTGTCAAATTCTTTCGTGAACTTAAGTTTCACTGAAGAAAACAGACACTTCCTGTTAGCTCCTCAGTGACTTTTAGAGGCACCAAAACGTGCAACAATCCTTATAATCTAGCACCAGTTGGTGTAAAGACTATTGTGCCGATTATTTGTGAGAAATGGCTTTCTGGATTTGTACCAATAATCCAGTTAGAATGCTGTGTAAAACAGTGGTGAAAAAGGAATTGTTAGAACAATGGATTGTACCGAAACAATAGTATTTTAAGATAATAATAGTTAATTGCATATGTAAAACCAAAGGCATTATTTAAAAAAATAATATTCTTTAAAAATAAAATATTTAAGAAGTTGACCATTATAAATATAACTTAAATATATAGCTGACAAGTTCCCAGTTGAATCAGGGTAATGCCACTTTTTGGTGGTATTTTTTATTCTGAAAGAACACTAAGATGTTTGTAAACCTGCCCTAAAATACAAATTACATACAAATACCTTGATTCACTGATGATGAAACACACTCACTAGGAGAAAAAAATAGCTAATAACCACTGAGTATTTGAGAATGGGAAACAAAACAGATCCTCTTAGAGGAAGTACAAGGGAATTAAAGAAGAGAACAATCCAACTGGGGATTTGGCTAGGGTGTGGAGCCTAATCCCCCTTGCACTGCTTAAACAAATCCATGGCAAAATTAAATATCAGAGCGAAAGGCTGGACTCAGTGACTGACTTTTCTCAACAACCTTTCTAGAGAGGCAAGACCCAAGGTGTCAGGGAGGAGGCCAAGTTCCTGCATTTGAGAAATCATGGCTCCATCTCCCCTTCCCTCAGTTCAGAAGTCAGGGCTGGCAAACAGCCATAGGCAATTCTTCCCCTTGGGAGTGCCCATTAATCCCCAGGGGTCAGGAGAAGGGAGAAAGGTCATCCCTTCTAAATCCCTTCAGCCTACTAACCACCTTCCTAAACTGCTACCAGTTGAATAGTTGGGCCAAATTAACTGCCCATTACTATTTACTATCAAAGAAACCAACTGGGGTTCCAAATCACTGTAGTGTTTCCCAAGTTGGAAGGACACACTGTATATGAGTCACTTTTACTGGACATAAAAGGTGTCTTTTCAGCACTCTTTTAGTATTTCTGATCACACTTAGGAGAAAAGTCTTAGTCTTTGGCAATTACTTGCTACTCTTTCCTCTTTCCCTGCAACAGTAGGAGCAGACTGTGGGCTTAGAAACTTGGGTTGGCAATTAATATATGCTCTAGCTAGGACTTCATATTTTTATGGCTACTTTTAATCTATGACAAGTTTTACCGGGTTTTCATTTAGGGTATTGATAGAAAGTTTCCTTTCAAAATAAGAGTGAGGAGGCTTCAAGAAAAACAGTAAGTTAATATTATATAGAACAAAAACCAGGGCAGAAAGCCCGTGAAATTCAGCTTTAATCACTGTTGTGAATTTCTTCTCCCTCCTGCCCAATGTTAATGGCAGTGTACTGTAGCAACCAACTTTTACAAGCAAGTAGTTAAGTGAAAATAAAACGAAACATACTCTTCTGCCTGGATAGAGTCAACTGGAGCCACATAATTGCTGGGAATGTAACCTGTCTCTCCAGTTGTCAAGGAGCGGGCTTCCCACCAATCTCCTTCCCTGTAAAGAAAAAAGAAAAAAGACAAGTAAGTATGTTGACCATTTCAACATCTTGCAGTTAGAGACTCACTGAGATCTGACGTGTATAACTGTATAACTGTCACCTAATCATCCTGCCACCTGATTTCTCCAACCTATTCCTTTACTCTGAACGCCAACATAGCTCCCCTGTCAAGGTCAGAAGGTTCCAGTTCGAGTCAGCCATGAGATGAACCTACTGTTGTCTTTTGCCTTATTTGTGAATTAAGAATGTGGGATCCTGGCCATGAGAGGTCTCTCTCAGAGGGAGGTATTTTGCTTGCTTAGTGTCCTCAACTTGGACGGAGGGAAAGGGAACCCAGCCTCAGCCTGCTTAAGAAAAACATCCTCGTTGCAGATCATCTGGGAAGGGAAGCTTGTCAGGAGGTCTGGTAAGGGATGAAGGATACTCTAAACACCTGCCTGGCTTGCTCTCGAAACAATGGGGAGACAGCTCTCTGCAGGTAGAATGATGAAGACGATAGGCTCGCCCTTCCCAGGCATTTTCAATCAGAGGTGATGCCATCAAATGTCCAGGGCACTGGCCTGAGGCTGATGTGCTGGGGAAAAGGGTGGGTATAGCTGCATGTGCTCGCACAGGGGAAGCACAGAAACTTGGCAAGGGACTGAGACTTTTAGTCATGCCACTTTGTACTGCCTTAGGCTCCATGCCACAGTATGGGAGTGTGGTATTAACTTGGGGAGCTCTCAGAGGAGGTGAAAGGGGAGCCTGTAGCTACTCTCATTTTGAACCCAGTGAGTATATTAAACATTTCAATTTCATCTGCTTGGGTTTACACAGGCCTATCTGTGACAAAGAGCAGGAATCGAGTGTGTACCTCTTCCCACTAACATCGGGGAGGCAATGGATGAGGTGCTGTGGCTCTGACATCCACTGAGTATCTGCAGAACCTTCCACCAGCCTGAGGTCAAGGACATGATTGCCCTCAAGCAAATCAGACCTCCCAGCAAATCTGATCTCTTGAGGCTCAGCACCTTCTCTCCCTCCTTTTTTGGGCCTTGGAGGCAGCAAGCAAAACTCCAGGCCTTTTTTTTTTTTTTTAAATCAGCTTTTTGGCAAGGTTCTGTGTCAAAGCTTTCAGCCAGGACAAAAATATGTTGGCTTTTGGCCATGGTAAAAGATGCTCCCAGACAGATTTAATCAGGTAGAGAATAACCAGCCTCCACGTTAAACTCAAGCCTTATTCCAGTCTCTCTAAAGCTGAGCTCTCTGAGCAAAGTGAGCAGGGAGCAACCACTCCAGATAGGATTTAACAGAGCAATAGAACAAAGGGGACAAGCCAGTGTGCACTGTGGGTGCCGCTGTGGGAAACTGTCTGGTGGCATAAGTAACAGAAGAGCCCACAAAAAACCAAGGTGTCAGCAAAGGTTTTTAAAAACCTTATGTTTTAATCAGTTTCCTAATCTCTCCTTTTTACCCTATTACAAATCAATCAAAAGTACAGTTCTCATATTCACAGAGTCCTTTATTCATAACCTTACATTTAGTTCATGTCTAGATTTATTCATAACCTTAAATTTAGTTCAAAATTGTTATGAAATATTTACACATATTGAAGAATATAGGTACAGTATATACGAACCCTGTGAACCCACTTCCCAACTTAAGAGCTAGAACGTTACCAGTGGGGTGGGACCTGCACAGTGCTGCTCCTCTATTGTAAGCGCCCCTTTCTTTCAGGCTCAAATCATGACATTAAAAATGTTAACATCTTAACAGCTTGTACCAGTCTCATTTCTATGTCTTCCAAAAGAAATACGTACAGTCGTAAGAATATCATCCAAGAACATATATGGAAGTTTATTTTTTTCTTTAAACACAATGTGTTTAAGGAAATGGCTTTGGAGAGAATCACTTTAATATAGTGACAACAGTTACTGCTCTGAAGTTCCACTAGATGGAGATATTTCATCATAAAAACAATACCCATCTCTTCCCCTTCTACCTCCTCCCACCCAGCCTGAGAAATGCTCCAAAATGGTGAGGAAAAAATTAAGAGCTTGTAGCACAGGCTTATTATTTATTTATTATTTTTTTAATGCAAGATAACCATCAGGTTAGTTCTAATTGAGTTAAGAAAAAAAAAAGGCTAGCATCAATTTTAGGGTATGTGAAAATGTCAATGGGGACGGGAAGCCAATATATTTTGCTGCAGGCTGGGACAAACCCAGCCTTATTCAGGTGATCTGGCATTAATGAAGTCATTTCCAATTCAAATCTAGCATTAACGATCTCATTTTGGTCTATGGACCTAAATAGTGTAGCACAGACCGGAATGCAATTATCAGCTCATTCTAAAGTCATGAATCAAGAATTCATGATTTTCTTACTTGACCCTCTTAATCTCACAAGGGTTTTCAGCAACTCATGAGGAAGATAAAATCCTTGATTTCTCTTTTTCTAGGCTTTCCAGGGTCACTTTCTTCATCAAAGGAGACATAAGGTGACAAAGATTCAAAGTTTATTATGTAGTAAACCTCACATGTTGAGCCCAGAGAGGCTGGTACAGACTCAAAATATTTATCAAGAGCTGTTGAGCAAGTGAATAAGTCATCTTTTTGATACACTAGAAGCACCAATTCACCTATAAATATACTCTATATTCATGTGGATTTAGGAAAATAGGAGCTTTACTATGTTGCCTTTTATTTCTCGAGTTACTGTGGGTAGTTCGCATTGTTAAAGCTGTATTTCTTTAAACTGTTCTTATAGTTCAGCTTCTTCAATTTATACTTGGTGAGATATTCTTTGTTATCTTGGTCTAATTCAAATACATGATTTAAAGCCTGACACTGGTTTGGATTGGCTTTTAAAGGTTTCATAATAGCTCTGTCTATTCCTCTGATTTAAAGACATATTAAAAGATTCTGTCCCCTCACCAAGAAAAGAGCCTATCCCCAGACTCCAAAGTTGCTCCTAGGCTTGTGGGCCAGGAGCTGGGAGCCCTAGAGTCTTGGAGCCAGGGAGTGGTATTTGCCAACAGAAGTCAGCCTTGGTTTGCCCAGTAGTATAGCATTTTTATAATCTGATTTTTAGAGAGCATATCAGTAACAATTTTAACAAATGCTTGGGTGGGGCTCTAAACCAGGATTTCTTTTTATCACAATAGAAAAAAAAATGCCCTTGGCCGTGACCACTACTCCACTCTGTGTAAAACATTTATTACATTTTAAAGAGTCACTGTTCCTAGATGGTAAATGACTAGTCTTGAAATGCAAAAACAGGGAATAAAATGGGTGCACTTAAACATTTTGCAAAATGGGTTCAAATTTAATAATCTCCTACTACATGACACTGACCACTTACAACAGTTCAATGAAGCACCTTTGCCCCTTGCTGGGCAGCAGGAACACCGCCTCTGGGTACGTACATACATGCATATCCCATGGTGTATGCTGTACTTCAACAAAACCGGCCCTGTGGCCTCCAGTGCCTGCCTCTTGACAGGGGAAGGGAGTGGGTGGACACACACTAGGAGGTGTGGCAGCTGCCCTGGCAGAACAGAGCCCTATCCCTTCCTCTCCTCCACGGGTGAGAGCCAGAGGCGGGAGAGGATGGGGGAGGGGAGGAGCTGCGTGCCATCTGCTTCCGTATTATTGCTTTGTTTTTCCTTCACGATTTTCTCTTCCCTATTATTACCCTTGACTTCAGGATATCGTCTTGTTACACAAAACTTATTTTTCTTTTCTATAACTTTGAGAAAGGACATTTTAAAATTCCACTGATACAGAATTCCACTGGCAGAAAGGAAGAACATTAAGAGGAAGAGAACCTTTGCAATATTTTCCTCCACAAGAACAGGGCTAGAGGCTCAAAGGACTCTGAAAACAGCAAAGGCCGTGCATGGAAGTCGCAAAATATAGATTGAGACAGACTGGATCTCCCTTAAGTGTTTCTCTAAAATTTCAATTTGGTGACATTGCAGATCCTTTCCAGATTAACAAAGGAAGTAGGCATGGGATTGACATTGGCAGCGACTGACTTTCCAACGCCCCCGAGCCTGATGCACAGATGCACGTGCAGTGTGGACAGAGCCTCCCAGAGAGCTGGTTCTGTGCTGCACTATTCCTTGGTTCTTGTGGTTGAAAGTTTGCAAATGGTCTTGAAATTTCTAATCAACCTTGGCATGTAGGGAATATTTAATAAACTGGGGAGGTTGGGAAGGCAGATTTCAGAATTCAAAGTTAATAGACTCCAAAAAGCAGCGGTCATCTGAGAATCAAAATAACAGCAAGGAGGTATACCCAAGAGAGGATCAAGGCCCAGTTCCCTCCTCTCCAGCCCTAGCCAACTCTCCAAACCTTCATGTCACTTGAAGGGTCCCATCCCCTTTGATAAAGTACTGAGCCCTGCCCAGATCAAACCTGACCCTGTTCTCAGGTTGCCTCCCTGTTCCTCGCCCTGGCCTCTGCCACCAGCCAGCTCTGTGCTCTGGGGCAGTTTCATAATCCGGGCCTCCAGCTCCTCAGATGTCAAACGATGACGTCGATGCATACCTCAGACAGTTGTGGAAGAATGCATGAGAACGTTTGTAACTGAGCACATGGCTGGTAAACCAGGAGCCTTCAATGAATGGCAGCTGTTCACTATTTTTTAAAAAAATTCCTATGGCTACAGGAGGAGGACTTGTGGGGCAGGTAACACTCTTCTTGACGTGGGTGGTGGCTGCACAGGCATATTCAGCTTGTGAAAATTCAGTAAACTGTATACTTTTTGAAAATTGCGGTAAAATATAGGCAACATAAAATTTATCATTTTAATCATTTTTAAGTGTACAGGCGAGCGGCAGCAAGGACGTTCACCTTGTTGTGCAATCATTACTGTGTACACCTTTGATAAGTGCACTTTTCTGCATGTATTTCAATAAAAACTTCTAAAAAACCCACCCCACACCTTTGTTAATGATGACAATACTAATGTATGTTTGAAAACTTGTGGCTATGTAGACTGTGTCTTCTGATGTCTCAGAGTCATCGGCCCCTTACGGAGGTATTCAGTTCTTGCTATTGAAAGTCGGCATATTCTCAGTGCATGGTTCTGTGAGCCAGGGGGCATTCCAGGGAAGGGTGGGCTTTCCAAGGAGGCAGTTTTCAAGCCTGAGGGGGTTCCCTGTGACAATCAGCACTCCTCTTTCCTGGGGTGTGCGGTGTGAGCAGGATTGCCTCTTACTTCCTCTGGCACATCCTTCTGGGAAGGATGGCTCCAAGTCCTTCCACCATCATGGAATCCGGTTTGCTCAGAGAGCAGAGGAGAAGCAACCAGACTTGGTGGCATAGAAGGACTTCCTGGTGTGCCCCTCAGCCCCTGGGTGGCATTCTTTCCCAACCACTGGGAGTACTCATAGGGATGCTTGAGATGCCTGGATTGCTGATGTGGGAGCCCCCTAATCCCCAACTTTCTTCAGAGCCTATCTTTTCCTGAAGGGCCTCATCCATGCATACTGCCTCAATCTAATAGAGGCAGTATTTATAAACCATAAGAAAATCTGACCCATATTTACTCTTCCTTATGGAGGTATTGAATGTAGTATTTGAAAAGGGAGTGATCCTCACTCTTGAAATCTCCCCACTGCCTGTTTAACTGCTGTTCCTCCTGGCCAACTTTAAACAACCATACAGCCTAGTCATTCATGAGTGGGTGAAATCACTTCTCTTCTATCTCCAAAAGACTTCAGTCACTCCCAAATTTTCATTGCAGGGAGACGCCTCCACAGGCTTCACCAATGAAATGTTTAGTGGTTTATTAAACAAAGAACTTGTTGCAAGCCTCAAGTGAGGGTTGCAAGCTAGTGTAACATCTGAAATGTGAAGAAAATCTCAAGGCAGAGAGCATAAAACGTGGGTAGCCAAGGCTTACGCCAATCACTTGAAACTGTAGGTAGGTTTGGAGAAACACTGAGGGCTATGCAGGATGATGCTGGTGCTTTTAGAACCTTTAAACCTAAACCAAAACCAATACACATGGACTCTACTAGTATTTTTGGTATTCTCTGAAAATTCCTTGGACACACAGTGCCATAAAATACTGCACTGTGTCACTGACTCTTCTTTTTCTCAAAGTATATTGTTATGAACTAGTGAATTTAGCAAATGTTCTTTTAGATTTCAGACATCTGAAGAGGTGCAGACTGGAAATGCAAGAACCCTTCTCAATCTGAAAGGTACACATGCTTCTCCTCCCTCTCCAAACTTACGAGCTGTTCAATATTTGAAATTTTTCTCCTTTGTGAAAACTCAGGTCATCTTCCGTCCGTGCTTCATAGTCATAAAGGGCCACAAATAGCGTCACTCCTGCCAAAACAAAATCAAGATGGAGATTATTACACAAGGGGAAATTAATTCCAAGAAATTAAATCTTCACTAAAAATCTCATTCTCAAAATCTACATCTAGCCAGCACTAACAACGTGATGAGGTGTTGTAATTAATGTGTGAAAACCACAGTCACAGGGCTGTGTTTACGCCTTGGTCTTTGTAGGGGAAGCCTTACTGGATCTGATAAAAACATGGAGCTGAAGGACTTCTTTCTGTATAGCTTTGAATGAGTGCTGAGGAGCAGGGAGATATTAAGATTGCATCCCAAACAAAAGGGCAGCCAGCGTTGGAGGGTTCAGGTTTGCAGGGCTCTGCAGCAGTTACTGACATGCCTTGTTAGTCACATCTTCCTCCACTTGGAGCCCATGTTAGGCTCTGGGCCAAATGGACCACTCTTTCTCCTAGTAAAACAGTAATATAGAATGTAATAGGAAACGCCTCCTGCAGCTTGGGGAAATTTAGAGAAGACCCTTTCTGTAATATTTGCCCCAATTAGAGGAGGTACTGCCCGTGGCATCTGCAGTTGGTTCTGCAGTTCTGTGCTGCTCAGCCCCACTGCTGAAAATGGAACCCTCTCCCTGTCCTCCTTCTGCCTTGAACTCACCTCTCCTCACATTGTCTTGTAGCACTCACTCTTCCTCACACTCACCCTACGTCCTCTCAATCTGGCTGACTCTCTAGAGAGGCCCTTCCTGCTTTGCAGGAGTTTGCTAGCAGCAGCAGCAGAGAATATCCAATGTCATTTGGCCTAGGATTTCCTCCATATAATTAGGCATGATTCTTTTTGTTTGTTTGTTTAATAGAGATGGGGGGGGGTCTCACTATGTTGCCTAGGCTGGTCTCAAACCCCTGGGCTCAAGTGATCCTCCTGCCTTGACTTCCCAAAGTGCTGGGATTACAGGTGTGACCTACCATGCCCAACCCAATAGGCATAATCCCCAATGATTCCTGCCTCCTGGTTTTCATGTGTTGTGCAATCCCCTCCCCTTGAGTGTGGGCTGGATCTAACGACTTGCTTCTACCCAACAGACTGTGTAGTCCCTTAGGTGACTAGGCTTCAAAAGATGGTGACTTGTATCTTTCTAGCACTCTCTTTATTGCCACTTCAGCTTGCACACTTTGATGAAGCAAGGCGCCATGCTGGCGAGACCCATGCGGCCAAGAACTGAGAACCAGTGAGGCCCCAAATCCCGCCAGCACTCCATGAGTTTGGAAGCAGATCATTCTCAGCTAAGCTGTGAGATGACTGTAGTCCAGCCAACACACCTTGATTGCAGCTTGTGAGAGATTCTGAAGTAGAGGACCCAACTAAGTCATTCGCAGATTCCTGACCCACAGAAACTGTACATTTAGGTTTTATAATTTTAATTGATGTATGGACACACACACACAAAAAGCATGAAGGAAGATCTGGATTCAAGCAGTGCCATGTGTTACATCATCACTACAAGTGTTCAAGTGTAAAGAAAACCAATTTGGAAACTATGAAATTCCTGATTCATAAATACACAGTTATTTCTACTTTGGTACACATAATTCACTGTTATTAAAGCTCTTTTATGAAGGCAATTGCATATGTTTTAAAAGCAATGGTAAATTAAGTTGTCTTCCAAAACTGTGTACTTGTCTGGTCAGCTGTGTATGATTAGTTATCTACCTCAGAGTCTATTTTCTTTTGTGCTGGGACAGGTTGCTGGCCTTCCTGATTCCACAGACCAAATCCTCCTAGCTCTGAAGCTAGGGCTAAGCAGTTATTTCTTTCAAGTATCTTTCAGTTCTTAAATTTTATGCTTGTATTTGATGACAGATGTCAGTGACATTTCATAGTTTCAAAAGGCTTGCTCCTCTGAGAAGTGTAGATTCTAGTGAAAATTACATAGTCAGAAGATAAATGTATTTGTTTTTGTTTCATTTTTTAAAAGTTGTGGTATTATTGGTTCTACGCTCCCTGGAATATTACTGCTTTGTGAAAATCCAGACTGAATGCAGCACCCTCTGTGTATCTAGTACAGTTATAAACCTGGGTCTCTCACTACTTGATATTTTTGCATTAGTTAGGACAGAAATTTGATAGCTCGGTTAGAGGGGAGGGGAAATTTTCTGCTAGAAATGTCTCAACTAAGTGCCATAATCGTTGGGTAAGATTTGGGAAACATAACTTCTGTACATAAAAAAAAAAAATTAAACATCACATAGTTGACAGCCATTAAATTATTTAAAAAATTACGAAGAAAGACTTTTTGTACAGGTTGAAATAAAAAGATTTTCATAGAGATATCTATATGATCAAGAGAGTTAATTTTTTATTTTTGTTTTAGTAGTGCCACAGCCTTGCCAGTGATAACTTATATGTCTGGTTCAAAACAACTCTGTAGTTTTCTTTCCTGGGACTTGTTGTTAAACACCAAAATACACTTTTGAACTGTACATTTCATCAGATCGTTAGCTTTTCTGTTTTATTTCTTTTAAGAGCCTTTGAATAAAAAACACCTGAAATTAAAAAACAGAAATTAAGTGTGTTTCGTTTTAAGCTGCTACGTTTTGTGGCGATCTGTTATACAGCAGTTGATAACTAATAGCAGTTCCCTGCAGTCTGGCTTCTCATTTGGTCTCCGCACTTCAGAGCGCCCACTATGGCCAACAGAACACACGACACGGAGCCCACTTTTTTTTTTTTTTTTTTTTTTTTTTGATACAGCGTTTCACTCTTGTTGCCCAGGCTGGAGTGCAATGGTGCGATCTCGGCTCACTGCAGCCTCTGCCTCCTGGGTTCAAGCAATTCTCCTGCCTCAGCCTCTCAAGTAGCTGGAATTACAGTTATCTGCCACCATGACTGGCTAATTTTTTGTATTTTTAGTAGAGACAGGGTTTTGCCATGTTGGCCAGGTTGGTCTCAAACTCCTGACTTCAAGTGATCCATCCACGTTGGCCTCCCAAAGTGCTGGGATCACAGGCATGAGACATTGCACCCAGCCAGAGCCCACTTTTTTACCAAGCTGCCAGTTTGCTGTGTAGGTAGTTTCAAGGGAACAGATGCGTCACGGCACTATTCGAGGACCACAGAGAGGAGTGGGGCTTGTCTTTCTGCCCCATCCCAAGCGGGACTTCCCTTAGGAGAGTTAGCATTCAGGGGTGTGACCATGCAAAGCAAGGCTCACTTGGCAACTGTCCTTCTTTCCTTCGATTTCTTTGAAAGGTAAAAAAAGAGATTGGCTTAAAACAAAAATACAGGTACCTGTAAGGTCATGCCTATTCTGATTTACCACTCCATTAACAAATTCCTTTCTTTAAAAACAATTTAAAAATGAAGTCAAGCCAGCTCCACTGTGGGGAAGGTAAGGCACATGAAGGCCAGCATTCCCACTCTCTCCTTGAATCAGCTGACAAGTTCTCACTGAGGGCTTTTATGCTCCATGTTCTAGGAACTGAGGGGAGAATCAAAGGAGGTTACAGAGAAACACAGACATTGTTCTTGGCCTTATAGGACTGAAGGCAGTGTCGGGAGAAAGGACGTGCATATATATTAAAACAAAATAATTCAAGGCAGAAAAATCTGCCAACATTTGAGGGTACTGTGTTTTAACTTTCAAATTTTATAAGGAACCAGGTAGCCTCCTAGACTAACAATGCTCCTGACTGCAGTGGAGACCCACATGCTCAACACAGGTGGCCCTCTCTAGTGACTTTACTGAAGGATACCTGCAGACACAGGGGTCCATATCCAGCACTCAGGAATGAATGAACAAGGACAATGCTTGTGTCGGCAGAATTAACAGTCGGCCGGGAAAGCCCTCATGCTTCTTGTGGTTAAGGACAAGGATGGGGCTGTGTTGGGTGTGTTTTTGGCTCTTTTTTCTTCTGCATCCTTAGGAGACAGATGGTCTTGGACTGCCTGTGTCTCTCCTTTCCAGGTGCCTTTGGGAAGGTGGGAGGGATGGGTAAAGGTATCTAGCATGTATTCAACCCATGCAAGCCTGGGTTAAAAGGAAAGCTAGAGTCACCACGGCATGAGGATGAACATAAATACTTCTTCTACGGGGCAGAGTATGCTATGCTAGCAGAAGATAAGTAGATAATGTCCAAAGGCTCTGGGTCAGACCCCTGGATACAACTACGCAGCTGCGTGTTGGGTGCAGAGGGAAAAAAAACCCTGTTAATGCCTTAGTAGTGCCTCCTCCCTAGGTGAGAAAGTACCAGCTGCCAGATGGGCTGAGAGATACTGCATCCTTTTAAACTTTTATATAAGAAAACTACTCCCAGATGAGCTGAGAGACACTGCATTCCTTCAAACTTTTGCAATAAACAAAATAATTTTGGAACAAATAATATCAAATATCTAGTTACCATGGTTCACATACTCAGAGAAAATTTGGATGACTAAGGATGCATGAGATAACTTACAAATATTTTGGAAAACATATGTCTGAGAATGTATGCCAGATATTTTACAAAGTATTAGCTAAGTCAGCAAATACATAAGGCAGCAAAATATAGCCTTGTGGTACAAAAAAAAAAAAAAAAAAAAAAAAAAAAAAAAAAAAAAAAAAAAAAAAAAAAAAAAAAAAAAAAAAAAAAAAAAAAAAAAAGGCAGGCTGAGGATTAGGAAGAAGTAATACATTAATATCTAGAGGACTCAAAATACACACACCCAGGCCCAGTCCTGGAGCCTCTAATTCAAGAGACTGGGACATGGCTCAGACATCCGCAATTTGAAAAGGCTGCCCTAGTTCTTCTGTGCCAAACAGCCAGGCGAGGCTCAGAGTCATTAACCTACAGTTCCCCAGTAGAATGTTGTAGCTCACCAACCCATCCAGAATCCTCAGAGAGCAGCAACTTGGGGCACCCTGCACCCCTGTAGCCAAGCATTTTGTTTGTACATCAAGCTCTGGCTTTTCTTACAGCCCCTTATCTAGCAGAGGAGACAGATTAGAAACTCCTGTTCAAAGGGAAGTGATGGGAGCCCAGATGTTCAATTCCCAAAGGAGTTAAGGGCAGCTGCCCTCTCTCTGTACTCTGTGACTTTGAGGGCTTACCTGTTCCTCCTCTCGTTCGCAAGGTCCCTGTATGAGACGAAGAGTTCACACCTCCAAAGACAGTGAGTCCTTGGCCCCCGGCTGCGTGGAAGTTGTTGTAGTTGGGGATGGAGGTCACGCCAAAGCTGGGGTAGTGCTGAGGGGTGGGGTCTGTGCCATAGCGGTACCCGGAACTCTGGTTCAGGCTGCCGTCCCTCTCCTCCGTCAGTTTTGTTGCTTCTTTATCCTTACATTGCACACAGCCCATTATCTAAATTCCTGCCAAGGACAAAAAGGGGACACGTAAGCTGGGATGCCCCCTAGTGGCTGGGTTGTTCTACGGTTAGCGAGAAGTAATTGACGAGGCTCACTGTTGGCTATTTCAGGCCTGTGGGGGCATGAGGGAAGGCAGTGGCTTGGGGGGTGGTTAGTAAGAGGAAGCTTAGTTCTCTTGACCCCACAATCACATTTGTTCCCCACATGTTCTGGATGACAGCATCATCACAGAGCACATCGTTCACCATGCAGCAACTTTCCTCGAATGAGGCCTGTACTTCTTCAAATTCTCTAACAGCATATACTTGCCTAAAGACAATTGAATCATACTTACCAATTTTGCCTTGCTTTAGCCATCTAAAAAAATAACATATGCTCTGTAGAATGAGCCTATGCAACATTAGAATAAAAACTCCCGTCATGGCACAGGAAATTGCAGGAAGAGGGCACAGAAGTGTTGGATAAGTCAGAACACAACTTCCAATCAAGTCACTAGACTGTTTCACTCATGGGTAACTAAACTTCAGGCACAAAACTGGTCAATTTTAAGCACTAAGACGATGCTAAGCATCGAAACTAAGAATTAGTCACTGGATGAAAAATAAAATCGGCAGAACCTAAGAGGTTCGAGTATATTTGCAGGATATCATGATACCCTATAGTAACGAAATCACTTAAAGCAGCTAATTAACTTTTCAGATTTCCATTAGCTTTTGACATCCTTCAAAAACATAAAAAAAAATTCCCATGTTCTGGAGTTAGTGGTGGATTACCCACCTGAGCTGTTGCCAACCCACCCTCCTCAAACCCTCTTCCCCCAGGCTCCTCATCGTAGTAAATGGCACTGCCAGTGACCCAGTTGCTCCAGTCAGCATCCTGAGAAGCATCCTCATTTCCTCCTTCTTGTTTACTTTTCACTCTTCCTGTCTCAGCTCTCCTATTCAAACATGCCCAACTTTTCAAATCCTCAAAGACTCCATTCCTCTACCCGCTTCAGGCCTTGGAACGTAGCCTTGAACACTTTTTCCCCTTCCTCTTTGATATGCGATGTACCCTTCATGTCCTAGTTAATAAGGCACTGCTTCCTCTGCAAGGCTTTCTCCGACTGCCCTGCCCCTCCAGGCTGGGTTGTGCTTTCCCAAGTGCTCCCATGGCATCCCAATCTCCCTCCTTCTTGCACACTTGGCGCCATATTAAAACAGCGCCTGTCCACTTGTCTCACTGCCCAGTGGACTGTGAGTTCCAGGAAAGCGGGACCCTGTCCATTTTTGTGACAGCTACATTGCCAGTGCCTGGCACAATAAATAGCAGCCAGACAAGTGAAGATTTTGTAGCCTATATGTTTCTCTTTTGCCCTTTCTTTACCTCTGTATCAAGGCCAATCCCTCCTGTGACTTTTAAACATTTTTTTGAGATGGAGTCTCACTCTGTTGTCCACGCTGGAGTGCAGTGGTGTGATCTTGGCTCACTGTAACCTCCGCCTCCCAGGTTCAAGTGATTCTCCTGCCTCAGCCTCACAAGTAGCTGGGATTACTGGTGCCCACCACCAGAGCCAGCTAATTTTTTTTTTGTTGTTGTATTTTTAGTAGAGATGGGGTTTTACCATGTTGGCCAGGCAAACTCCTGACCTCAAGTGATCTGCCTGCCTCGGCCTCCCAAAGTGCTGGGATTACAGGCATGAACCACCGTGCCAGGCCTTTCCTGTGACTTTTATCAGCAATGTACCTTGCATTTTAAAATCTACTGGTATATGTCTGAGAAGCAAAGAAGATTCAGAAATATAAGGTTGTTAAATGGTCCCACTTTGGACTTACAATACCCCATCAAGCTGACAGGGGTCAGGTAGAACAGGCAGTGAAGGTGCCTGGCAAAACTGCAAACCAGCCCATTTGGGACCAAAGAATCAAATAAGAAACACATGACATCATGTGTAATAACATTTATTCACTGGGGAGGACACAGTTGGCACAGGATGGGAAGGGCTTCGGGCGGCAAAGGAGAAAGTACACTTTTCTATATTATCTTGCAAACCAATGCGGGAGGTGCCACATCAGACAGGGAAGCTCTCTGGGCGCTCTTCTGAGCACTGCTTTTCTGCTGGAGTGGGTGATGGGAGCACTATCAGACTGTTCTAAAGCTCTCTCATATTACGTGTTTCAATAAATACTGAATTGAATGTCAGTTCTTGAGAATGAAAATGTTTGGAAAAGAGACGCCTACTGCTTGAGCTGAGCTCACCAAATCTGGAACACATTTACTACTAAATCATTTGAGATTAGCTTACAGTATACTGTGTCCAACATGCTTTGTAACTTAACGGTAAATGGATGTGATTTAAACAAGTTTCCAATAGGAAATGCAAGCTATTTCCAAGGCATGATGTGCTAAAGGAATTTCATCATCTGTTGTTGATGTTGCTTCATCAGACTGAAGCTACCTTGCTCATACAATATGAACTCTTTCATGGTGGAAAGTTGCTCTACATTTCTGCAAAGGCCAGACAGAAAACATTTCTTGTCCCACATGCTTTTTTTTTTTTTTTCCCCCAGGAATTAAACTGATCTACTGTGATTAGAGAATGTGAGACCTGACTCACAGAATCACATCACTGACACCAGTGGTTCTCAGCTAGGGGTAACTTTACTGCTCCCCCACAAGAGACATAATGGGCAATGTCTGGAGGCATTTTGGGTTGTCACACTCAGAGGGGAGGGGTGACACCTAGTGGGCAGAGGCCAAGAATGCTGTTAAAACAACCTGCAGTGCACAGGGCAGCCTCCTACAAATAAGAGTTATTTGGCCCCAAGTGTTAATAGTGTCAAGTTCAAGAAATTCTGATTTATACAGGAGAAAGAATGCTTCCCTTACATGGATGTGATTAACATGCGACCCAGCATGATTTCTTCAGGAGAACAGGCATGCTAGGTAGAAGCAGGCAGTTTTAAAGAGTGACATGAAGTGCTCTGATTTTTCTCTAGAAGTTTTCTCACCGTGATAGAGAAATAGAACCCAGAACTAATAAGAATGCTTATTGCAAACTACTCTTCCAACTCCAGCAAAACAAAATAAGCCCCATATCAGAACCCTGAAGAAAATAGGATCCTACATTTAACCAAACTAAGAAAAAATAATCTTTCAAAATCCACTTTTAAAAAGAAATATACTGTAATAAGCAACTAGGAGCTTATATATAATTTTATGAATAGGGAAGAAAAATCATTAGCTATATTCGGTGTGCCCAGGCTCCTTGCTACCAGGCAAACTTTGGATCATTCATGCTAAAATACAAATATTCTTTATTATGCAGTTATGTGCTGTGGCTGTTATGTCCAATGCTGTAGGTGCATTGTGACATGGAATGTACTAATTCACTTGCTCTAGATCTGTGGGGTACCAGGAAACACTGTAATGCCATCATGAATGTGGAGCCCTGGAGTTACTCTGATCAGGAAAATATCACGTGCCATGAACTGGTGGCTATAGTCCTCCGCAGGTTGTCATGCCTAGAAAAGCTGGTGGAAGGGTACTTTGACCAGTTGGATCCTATGCCTGTGGTCAAGGCGTGTGGATTACAGCTGTGAAGTCTCTATTCTCCAATTTGTTTGCAAAGGGAGGGGCCCTGTTTCTACTCTACAAATAAAACTTAATCTACTTAAAATTTCCCTAATCCTGTGGAGCTTATCAGATGCTCCAATAGTGTTAAGGAAGAGTTGCCAGACACAGGATTCAAGGAGCGCTGCACCCTGCTCCCATAAGTAGGGCAGACATTATCAACAGATCAACAGATCGCAGCCCTTTCTGCTGCCATGCCACGGGAGCTATGCTTCTTCACATAGCTCTGTAGTGACTGACAGAAGCTGACCTAAAGGATTGAATCTATCCATTACCACAGGAACAGGGTGCTTCGATCCAAGATAAGTCTGGTTGAACATACACTCCCTCCTCCTGATGCTACAGACTACAGTCCAGTCTACAAGATGCACATTAAATACAGACACATTCATATGTCCTCATGCGCCAATAAATAAAGTAATGCCAGTAGGCCCAAGTTATAAGCTTGCAGGACGCGTGATAAGATTTCAGGTGTGTGCAGGACCTAGGTATGAAAAATGGAGAAAGGGCCACTGGCAGTCTTCTGCATAAGCAAATTACTTTCTCTTGAGACACAGACACTTGCAGGCGGAGGAGGAATGGCAGGAAGAGGAAGTGAAACTGACAACAAATAACTTTAATTTCAGCGGTGTAAGCGCTTTTGTCTCAGAAGCCAATGTAGGTGGGTGTGAAGAAGTGACAGCCCTTAGGCATACTCCCTGCCCCTGACAGCCCCCAGGAGACAGCCCAGACTTTGGAAAGTGACAGGTAAAGCCACATTTGGCCCGTACTTAGAGGTGGCATGTTTCCTGGTATCATAATGGATGTAAAAGAACAAGGAAGGGAACTGAACTAAGAACCTGGAAACCAAATGCAAGCAACTGAGATGGGGGCAGTTGAAAAATGAATTTAAAGCTGAATTGCAAATCAACTGCATGGTTTCACACTTTTCTAGGAAAAAGCAAAAACTGGAAGCTTAACAAGCAAACACACTTTTTCAGTCAGCAGGAATGGCATTAGGAAAAGGATAAGATGTGGCAGAGACACATCAGAAATTATTTGACTTCGGATAGAAGATTCATGGCAGGGGGCTCTTGATCCTCGTAAAATTAGAAACTCCCATAAGAATCTACTTGAGGACTTTTGCTACATTCTCAATGGAGAGAGTTAATCCCTTGAAAGCCTAGGAAAGCCTTTCTTTAGTTTTCCCCATGTAATTGCCGGGAGCAGGACATTTAGAGACTGCCGAGTAGCAATGAGGTTGGGCCACAGAACCTGTCACCCAAATTTCCTAATTTCCCAGCACCTTTCAGTCCTTTACAATAGGGCTTTTCTCCTTTGTAGCACACTGCATCAGATTATCCAGACACCCCATCAGTGAGTGCAGGCAGTGCTGCCTTCTGGTGACAGCT